CACGTTGGTCAAGTGAGTAGCCTATACAGTGGCTCCGGCTGGTGCACTTTTATCTTATCAGGTTGAGAGAAATTGATCTTGTTGAGTTGCCTCACTTGCCATTGACGACCCTAGATGGTGGCATGCATGTGCCGTAAGTTTTTATCTTGGAGCGGAAGCTGAACTTTTTAAGTTATCTTCCTTGCTGTGGGGTTATGTTGACATTGACATGGGATTGCGGGGACAATGCACGCTTTCATCTATCCATTTTGGTCACGGCGCTAATGGCTCAATAGCAATATAAAATGGCCCCTCTCTGGCTAGCCTTTCTCCAGCAATCCACTCTACTATCAACTGCCTCACAAACCAGGTGAGCTATCTGACTCGGATCTGACCATGATTGGCTGACACCGTCTTGCAGCTTAACCGCACTCACCACCATCATCATGTCCAACAGCAACACTGAGCAATGCAACTGCGGCGTCGCTAAGTGAGTTTTGTCTCGCGACATTTCATTGACCGAATTCTGACTGTCTGTCAACAGCTGCAACTGCCTCGCTGGAAGCTGCACCTGCAAGAACTAAACACCACGCGCAAGTGCACCTGCCTTGCCGTGTATATATAAACATAAGGATATCCGAAGCCGTTTGACGTGACTTGTACCGTTGTATTGAAATGCCAGAATCGTTATAGTCTCTTTATAAAGCTGACAGTAAAGTTTGACTGCAACATCGATCCAGCTCGCCGATAGCGTTCGTTGAAGAAATCGAAAAATGCACAAATGCTCTCGAGTCTCTACATAGGCTTTACATTTCTAACCCTAAGTCACTAACGTTACCGTCACGTGAACAGCTTGAACGGATTTAGTCTCTACCACCCTTAGAATCGTGCTTCTGTGTTTGCCACCTGCGAAAATTTCTGTCTCTAGCTGCGAGCCTCCTTCAGCAGTATCGTGATGAGTGTTTAAAGTGTCGCTCGAATTTTGCTGCAGGTGGCCGACTGTCCCATTCAGTTTCTGTTGTTTCTACTAAATACCAACAGACTCGTTCTTTCGAGGCGCGTACTAACTTCAAGGACTTGGCCTTCGTACTACCGTCCACCCTGCGCACCAATGGACCACTATATATTAGTAAGTCACTAGTACGGGATGGCGAGGGCTGGTCTAATATAAGTACCACGGAAGTCGGGACTGTCGAGTGACGACTGACGTACATCAAAATCATTCTCTCTCAAGGAGATAGTCAGAAGTACTGGTCATGAGTCTACTTATTATTATCGTGCAAGAAAAGATCTCTAATTATCAATTTCGGGCCGTCGTGGGCGTAGTTGATTGCTCGGCTCAGGTCATTCCTGGGTCATAGGACCTCGATGGTCGAAGCGAAGCTGATTCGGCCCGACTATAACGATGCATGACTTCAATATAAGAGATGTGGTGATATACGGCTCTAGCAACATCCACTGCCCACCTTCATCCAACGTCAGTCATGTCTGGAGTAGAGATGTAAGTCGACCATGTACTGGGATATAGGTAGTAGTATGATGAATCTCACTTGCAACGGCATCTAGTCATTCCGTCCCGCGTCCTACTGGGGTGCCCGCCCCGGTAAAACTTAACAAGATCTCCTGTCAATTGACACAAGACAAAGTATTGATTACTTGTTCCTCTTGTTTCCATTTGCTGACTTTCGTTGCGCTTGAAGGCTCGGGGAGGTGCCCAGGCTATGTGTAAGTTCTTGCCCTGAATGTCACTTATCGTGCGATTAACTAAAGGCGTAACATAGTATATGCCGTTGGTATGACAGAGGAAGACATGAATAAGCCTCAAGTACCTTCATGACAACTTGTGGTTTTCACATTGCCTTAACTATTCACTAGATTGGTATTTCCCCCATCTGGTGGGAAGGTAATAATATCAGTCCTGTGTGCAGATGTTGGTGCTGAAGTGCGTTTTTCAGGTAACCCATGTAACTCTCATCTCGTGTGTTTTGCTCCCCGTTTGCGAGTGTCCGGTAAATTAATACCTGTGTAGCTCGATTTGTCCAAGAAAGTTAAGGAGGGCTGCACGGAGGAAGGTTTAGTTGGCTTAACCTTTAACACCATTGGTGTTAGGTGTGTCTGGTCATTTTCCCAATGAATATGTACTAAAGCTAGGCAGTGATGCTATTACAATGGGAACAGATGGTAAGGTGACTTTGATAAATTCCCTTGAACATATCTGATTGCATCTGCTCAGGAATGCGGTACTCGTGTGTATCATGGAAGTCACTGGCATGATATCCTGTTGATATAGCATACCAGACTTCCAAGTCGTGATCTCATTGCGGACTCTATTGAAGCTGTAAATGACCTCCCTGAGGTTTTAATTCAACGCTGACTCGGTTTTTTTATTAGGTCACACTTGTGAGAGGCTCCATCTTTTGGCAGCCTCTGGATGCTCAAGTTACTTGATTTGTGCAAGGCGCAACATTACGATGGTAATATCTCAATACCAGGTTGCGACAAGAACATGCCTGGTGTCTTGATGGCCGCCGCTAGACACAATAGGCCGACCATTATCGTGTACGGTGGTACAATTCAGGTTGGGACGCGCCATGTCGACTGCCCTTCCATGGGGTACGAGAAAGGCGGGACTGTCAACATCTCAGATGCCTTCGAGTCTTATGGTGGGTGGTTATCCGGCTCCAAATACCTCCCAGCCTTGAACTGGAGTCAGGTGCCTATGCGGTTGGCCTCATCAACGACGAGGAGCGATTTGATGTCGTCAGACATTCATGTCCTGGCGCTGGTGCCTGTGGTGGTATGTATACGTACGTGTTTCGTCGCTTTTAAGCAGAAACCTCCTCATATGACCTAGGGCCAACACCATGAGCTCTGCTCTTGAAGTCCTGGGTATGTCTCTTCCCTACTCCTCGAGCACACCGGCAATGTACCCTGGTGAGTTAGAAAACGCTTATGTTGTATGTAACGTTGTGAATTTGCGTATTAGAGAAGGCACAAGAATGCTTCAAAGTCGCCAAGTATATGAAACGTCTTCTGGAGCTTGATTTGAAGCCCAGAGATATCCTCACCCGTCAATCTTTCCTGAATGCAATCACTATCGTCAACGTCCTCGGTGGCTCAACGAACGCTGTTCTTCACTTGCTGGCCATAGCCCGTGCCGCCGATGTTCCCTTAACCATCGACGACTTCCAGATGATTTCAGACAAGACTCCGTACCTGGCTGATTTGAAGTACTTTCAAATTCATAATTCGATTGCGTTCTCTCACAGTATTGTCAGGCCATCTGGAAAGTATTATATGGAAGACGTTCACAAAATTGGTGGCATACCCGCAATCATTAAATATCTTCTTAAGAACACCGATCTCATCGATGGTAGCCAAATGACTGTTACCGGAAAGACCCTCGCTGAAAACCTCGTGGATGTCCCTGAGCTCGACTTCGATAGCCAAGACATCATCAAGAAGCTGGATAACCCCATTAAGCCTTCTGGTCATTTGACTATTCTCAAAGGTAGCTTGGCTCCTGGAACCGCTGTTGCCAAGCTTACAGGGAAGGAGGGTTTGCGTTTTGAGGTGATTCACAGTTATTCGTTGATTCCATGACGTCATAGCTAACGGACACTGGTCGTTCAGGGTGTCGCTAAATGCTTTGATAGGTACGGCGTAACGCGAAACCTTGTGCTCAGCTTGCCTTATATAATTCGTCTTTAAGTGTGCACGACTTTTATCCTGCGCTTGAGCGCGGAGACATCAAGCACGGGATGGTCTTGATATTCAGATACCAAGGACCGAAGGGCGGGCCAGGAATGCCAGAGGTTGGATGTTATTTTTGATATTATTTCTTCCATGCTCATATTTGACTGCAGATGCTGGGTACACTTGCATTTTGAACAAGCCCTACAGTCCCCCTAACCCCTTTACACACAGGTCCCACCGCCGCTCTTATGGGTGCCGGGCTGGGCAACTCAACTGCGCTGATCACGGATGGTCGTTTCTCTGGGGCATCCAGAGGTTTCATCATTGGTGCATGTTTTACCCAAACTTCGCTTGAAGACAAAGGCTTATTTCCGACCCACCAGGTCACGTTGTCCCTGAGGCGACCCTCGGTGGTCCAATTGCTCTTGTGGAGGACGGCGATCTCATTGTCATTGATGCAAAGAGTAGGGCCATTGACTGGCAAGTCGGCGAAGAAGAGAAAGCACGCCGAAGAAAAGCATGGGAAGTCTCGGGCAAGAGTGCGCTCAGGGAGCGGAGAGGTATCTTGTTCCGATACGCCCGTGATGTTGCTGTAAGAGGTTTAGTTTAATTATTCGACATCGCTTGCTAACCGTGCTTTATAGCCTGCTAGCGAAGGGGCCTACTGCGACTGAGATGTCTCTTGCCACGGTGTATGAGAGGGTATCGAAACGATTGAGCAACATGGTCAATAAACATTATGCGTTAAGTCAACATGTCATCGGTAAATACAGAAGTAAAATATTTAACATGTTTTTGGGCCTCTTTGTTGGTACAATCAGGTATCTGGACTTTGAAAATACAATGTTGTCATTACCTCAATATCTCCGCACCACCGAACACACGTACAGTCCAAGTATACATAGCCTTGTAAGTCATAACTATAACGGCTGAACAGACTGTCATATCCTCTACAAGTGCATTGCATCCTGGTCGGGTATTTGCTGAAAGCAGCCTCATGAGAATTTGGTCCATGAATAAATGCGCTGCAGCCTAGACATGACAATGTCCCAAATCACCTGCACCGCTGCGGACAAGATAAAAAAACTGTCTCGTCTCACGACATATTTACTTGCTGCGCGCGTCGACAATGCACCTCTATTTGAAAAGTGTAAGTGAGGGAGCAGCGATGGAGTGTTCCGAGCAAGGATTTCTCATGGGACGGAAGGATAGGATCCGACACTGATCCTGGTCTAATCATACCCATCTTCACAGCGGGCAGTGGGTGCCGGTGACCGCTCATCCTTATTTTAGAGCATCAATGCACCATCCTCGTGTCTATGTGAGTACCCTGCCAGCATGATAATGCGGGATTTCGTCTTCTTTGTGGTCCTATCACATCATAGGTGACCACTCATCCACGAGGTTGGCCAGTATCTGGGAGTGGCCGTATGCAGCCGGCTGGGGCCCGCGCGGTTGGTATAGCGCCACGAGACTGAAGACACAGGAAAACACATACAACAGTACGCATGAGTTCTGTATCTGTACCATGTACGAGTGTGAGGATGCTGTGACGCCTGTGCTTAGATAGTAAATGCGAACCTGGTTTGGAAACATAAATATTACTATTGGAGTCGACGGTTGGAATTGACCACGAAACAACACCCGGGTATTCTGTCTGTCATTAATGATAATGAAGTCATGATTATTGTTCAGGAATTCAGATCTAATGTCACTGGCAGGTCAAGTGACTTACATAAATATATACAGGCTATCGCAATGAAAGATGCAAAAAGGAGAATATTTGCGAAGCCCGACTTCGCGGGTTCGTCGCCAGTGTAATCCCTCTTTGTCCGGTACCGCTTCCCCAATCACCTGCATCTCGAATGACATTTGCGATGTGCTCCGAACAGTGCAGACAACAGCCAAGTGGATATGACCCATAATCCACCACTGAACACCCCTCCGACATTAGAATCTCACCGGAGTAGCTTTTACTCGACTTCGTATCGTAGATGTACAGAACGAGGACACCCCATCCGGCGCATGCTACGACAAGGCCCCAAAGGGAGATGACGACTTTGCGGATGCTAGGGTGTGCATGCAACGGAGAAGGCTGAATCTCTGATCGATTCGTTGGACCTGCATACACATCCAAGTCGGACACGCCACGCATGCACCGGAAAGTAACGGAGTTCAATTGTGAATACCAGTTGGAAGTAGTCGCCATACGGGAGGCCGAGAATGGAGGGGGTAACACATCATATACGCGAAATAAGTATATGATAATCTGTATGAGATGGGCCTCAGGAATGCGTGGGTCCGTAGGCCCCCTATATGTCCCCCTCGACAACCTCATCATCTTGATCCGTGGACAGGAATTAGTTGCAGAACGAAGCCTCTGCTTGCTATTCAAACCAGTAGTTCACCATATTCTAGCGTAGATTGTGTCCTTGATGTCCACACTGCCTGCATCTAATGTAGTTCAGTCAGGATTTGCGATGGAGTAGCAACACGACAGATTTCTTCACCATTTTATAATTCTGATGTTTGCAGACTAGATATATCATGATGTGCCGCGTATATGGTCCAAGACCTGATATCGACTGCCATAACATTATTGCTGGATGGATGTGCGTGCGCAGTGCTCGTTGGGTTCTTGCAAGATGGCTGGATCTGGGGGTATAATGTATCGTTCCGTCTCATTGATCTCTTTGGGAGGATTCCGATCTTTCGATTTCCGGCGTTTAAGTAAATACCAGATGAGGCCAGCGATCCATGCGATGCCCAGCACACCTCCACATACGCTGCCAGCAATTATTGGTGTCAAAGCTTTGTGTCTAAGTATGATGTGAGCTGAACATTTGAATGTAAGTCGAAGGGCCAAAGGACACGTACCCATTAAGGGAAGCAGCTTCAGAGGAGTTCTCTGCGCGAGCTGCTCGAATTTTCGTTGCAATGCCATGTCCCTCCCAGTGCATGTCTCTTCCGCCTTCTGTTCAGCGGTAGGATAGATCAAGTGGCCTTCAAGATCTGTCTTCGTACTCTCTACTAATGTCCGATTCTTCAAGGTCGAAGGATAGGAAGTGAAGAATGTATGTGATTGACTCATGAGCAAGTCTTGCCGCAGAGAGCTCCGGAAACTGCCGTGGAGTGGTAATGTTTAAATTAAAATTTAGCACCCCACATAGTTTCTAGACCATGAGTCTACCCAAAGTCTGTCTGATTCAAGCCCGCGCCGCATGATGTTACTATCATCTCACCCACAGTCAACATTCATCCCGCGTGCCTGCCATCAGGATCTTTACCTTCATCTCTTCCGATCCATGCAAGTCTCTCACACTTACCTGACTGTCTCCATGTTTGTCTAGTATTTCCTACCCGCCCGCCAATACTATCATGATATTGTCTGTAGCTCCCAGTCTACGGCTACCACTCCTTCCTCCAGGCGAATATAAACACGGCGACAAGCTGACAAGGACGACGGGATTGGCGTGATGGCGGGATGCGTACGATAGCTGACGTAGACGGCAGGGTGGTGTAAGACAACAGACAGACCTTTGATCACCTAGACCTTTCACTTGTTTGAGTATCAACGAGTATCCAGTATGCCTCTCACCGCAGTGCAGCAGTATCCCATTGGTTTTTTTTTTTTTGGTCAGTCACTGCCCTTTTGTGGCGCTCCGCCAATGTCCCTAGGAGGTTGCTTGCAAGACCTGCATTATTAATGGACGCTCGCAATATCGACATCGATCCTCAAACCGAGTCGTTTCAACATACCTCCCTACAGCGTTTGGATGAGGCTCGTCTGAGCTAGAGATTACGGATGCTGGAGTTGTCGCTCCCATCGATTTCTCCGTACTCCCTTGCATTAACCGATTTGGTGCAAGTAGACCAACAGGACGGAGGCATGAAGCAAGGTCAATAGACACCTCCAATCCTTAAATCTTAGGTGAATATGTTGAGTATTGGAAGCATATTTCGGGTAGGCGTAAGGCGCGTTTGGCAGGATGGTCTTGAGTTGGTGCTTTTGTACAGTGATGCCGCATTCTGATCGATTCGTTCGTGTCCTGTCGTTGTCCTTCGTTGCGGTTGACTATATGATACATAGTTCTTGCAGACCACAGCGATGTCACAGGCTTGGATGCGGATTTAGCAATGTGACCGTGGTACAAGGCCATCGATCGCCCCTAAAAACCCTTCGAGGCCTGCCAAGAACTGTTCCGTTCACCTGATTGTGACAGGCGAAAATGCGAAAACTTCCTGCCTTGGACCGCATGTTCATAACCTCAACATAGTTACAGTCTATAATTTATGGTATGCATCCTTATGCAGCCCATAGGTTCAATGCTGATTTTCCACTCGACAGGAGTCAAGTGAGTTGAAGATGAAGAAAGGACCTCAAAGGCTTACACTGGCTCAAATATTGCCATCAATAGCTGCGTGCTATTTGGCGTATGCATTTACGCCATATTTATCCGGAAAAAAGGGCACATTGGTTCGTGTCATTACTCGTTCAATTATTCGCCGGCACTTACCCTTGGATCAGGATTATTCCTCTTTCAAGCATCTACCACTTTTCAATAGCGACAGTGCACAGCATCCTTTCCCTTCTATATGCTCTGCCGCCAAATCCTGCTGGAATATCCGTCCCCGACAGAAGTACCTTGTACTTTGCCAGGGTTACGGCCTTGTCGATGACGATGACAGGATTGTATCTTTTCAATGTAGGTATCATATTTCTGTCGTGAATCGCACTTTATTGTACTTTCTTTCAGGTTCTTGTTCTGCATTTATTACTCGTGAGTAGTAGCTACCTGCGTTTGGAGGTGTTTAACCTGACACTCCTGACAACAGATCTGGAGGCTTTATTTGGTTTGGGATCATAACTTGATCCTTGCTATTGTTATGGTAAGATATCTTTCCATTACTTATCGCGACTTTTACGAGCGTCGAGATTGCTAGCTAATTCTGGAAACTGAACACCTCTGTGCGCCTGTTTACTTGAGTTGACCGGCAGTTAAAGTACTAACATTACTTCCCCGCGTAGCGACTGCCATCGCGGCCTGAGCTATGGTCATGTGGTTCGGTGTCGTTCTTACACTAGATTCCGAGACTTTGTTGAAAGCTTGTTTCACGTTCAACTTCGTTCTCACTGTTTGTCTCATATCTGGGATCGCCTACCGTCTTTGGCGCACGGGAAAAGATACGTTTGGTTTGACTGGTCATAATGCCTACAAGCCTGCTATATACACCATCATTCAGTGCGGTGGGACCTGTGCCTGCAGCATCGTGGTAGTGTGCGCTCTATACCTTTCTGGGAGCCGCGCTGGCTTCGCCCAACCAGTCCAGGTCAATATCGCCGAGGAGATCCGTACCTGCCATGACGACACCATGGATTCACGACCTACTACCCGGAGGAATCAGAGTTTGCCGACATATAGTGACACTGAGAAGGGACATTAGCTAGGAGTATCTCATACGTTTTTCCTTCTAATGAGGGAGGAAGGGCGGACATGCCAATAAGCATGGATTTTGCAGTGCTCGGTGTTTGAACTGTGAGCTTGAGGAATGAATTAAATATGAAGACTTCAGGAAAAACTGACAACGTTGGACACACGCAACAACTGTAACATTTGGTTGTAATAGAGAAGGAACGCCTGTCTTCATTCGTTTAAGGGCTGCCCAAGGGAGGCTGGCCCAGCACAAACGGTATGATCAATAACGACTCCGAGTTCTATTGACACATCCCGAAGACAATATCGTAAGAGATACGGAAATGATGAGCGGTCAGATATTCAAGGATTTAAGATATTCACCTATAAATTACAGACTGGCATTAAGTTGGCATACTGAAGGAACCGTTCTTTGGGATCAAAGACCGAGCTCGGTATATTCTTGAACATTAGGGCTAGGGATGCAGACGACGTGCGTAACCACTGGAGTTATGTGTTAAAGGTCGCATATATAGAACGAAAGATGAAGAGGAGGCTACGAAGAATTAAAGTGCGATGGGGTTACTTGATTTGCAAAAGTCTGGCCCTTCACTCGGGGAATCGATTTTGTGCCTGAAGAAGAAAATCAATAAGTGGTGGATCTGGACCATTTGACAAAATGCTTATTTACTTGGATTTGATGTGCTGCTTGACACCTTCCAACATGAAAGTCCGATTTAAGCCATTGCAACGTCGACAGCGATATCCCAACTTGGTAGAAGGTTTAGACTTCTGAGTTGTGCCCGACTTTGAGGGCTTCCCGATCTGATGGGTAACGAAGAACTTCGTTGCTGGAGGCGGTTTCTCGATGGCGCCTTGGTCATAGCTAAAGTCAATTCCTTCAGTCGGAGTGGTGATTCTATGCCTACTACGCGTGAAAAGAAGGTGAAATGAAACAGAAAAGGTGATAGCTTACGATTTCATATGATTAATCACGGCAACCTTTGTAGTTGGGTCTCCGTAGTATGAATCGCATTTGTTACAACGCCACACTTTCTGAGTAGCTCCGGGATATTCGGGCACACGCCAACTTCGGATGACTTGAAGTTGTGCGTCACTCAAGAACTCCCAACGAGGCTCTTTGTGCGATGGACCTTGTTGGTCGACGTAATGAAACACCTAGAAGACAGTAAGCACGGCGTCAAAGTCACAAACACGGGACGAACGCCCTGACGCCAGTTCATTGCCATCCGGTACGATCCTCCATTCTCTGGCTTGGGTGGACAGTTGGAGCAGAAGAAGCGACACTGGAGACTATCCATTGTGGTTGCAGTCGTAGTTTTGGCGTTGAGACCGATTAAGCCTAACAAAGAACGTGCAGCGGCAACCCCACGCTGGGAGATCGAAAATGTACAAGATGATATCGACGCCGATCTTGCGTAATTTCGGGCCACGTCTTGATTGTGAGAAGACCATCTGTGATGCAGCACCTTGTCCCACGTAATCAGTGGGAAGGAGCCCAGGCGAGTGCATTGGAAAACGGAGGTCGCCAGCTGCAGTAACATATCATCAGGGGCATCGATTCCTTGGCTTTGTAGCGTAGTAGTATCTTGCAGTACATCAGTGGAGAGGGCCAGTAGTCGTGTCAGTTCGAGCTTCCTTTTATGCACATATTCAGCACAAAACTCGGGAAATCTTTCCGCGAAAGCAGAACAAGGTTGAATATCGCTTTCTTCATCCCCAGTGGGTGGGCTTTCGATAAATTCTGCAACATCACAGAGCTTCATGAAATCTTGGGGAGGAGGTGTGATGACCTGTGGCAACGGCTGCACGTATTTCTGATACATAGCCAACAGGCGAGACTCCCGGACATACGATACTTTTCTTTGCTTCTCGAGGCGCCATTCTTCCTGCAATTCAGCAAGCTTACGCTCGACTTTTGGAAACAAACGCTCCCAGCCTGGAAATCGACGATATGAAGACAAATATTTTCAAATGTAATAGATCACTGACGTGCATCGGTAAGCTCTTTGTCCAGTACGCCATAGTGATGACGCTTGAACATGCGCTCCACATCTTCAGCATTGTGGCCGAGATCGGCCAGTCTAGCTTCAAACCTAGGATAGAAGATCAAGACATAATTAGATGACGAGTCGATGGGATTTACTTACAGCTTTGTATTTTGGATACGAAGCTCACGGGCACGTGACAATTGACGTTTACCGTCCTCGTTAGCCCAAGCGCTACAGATCGCTATATGCTTCGAGGTTGTTAGATTTAGTAAAATCACTTGTAGGAATCTTACGTCGATATCGGAATTAACATATTTCTTGCGTGATTGCTTGAAGTCTTCTAATGCTTGCTCAGCACCTGGTTTGAGGTACACCTCCAACTCTTTTGCCATTTTCAGGACGTCATCTAACCAAAAAAACTCGCAGTCAGTGACATGAATACGATCATCTACACCGACTGCATAGGAACATCAGATACAGATAAATCATAGTAAGACAGCACCCACTGTCACTGGATGGGATCAAATCCATCATGATCGGATCGTATTTAGAAAATTCAGATTCAGAGACGCAGCGACCAAGACAGACTAGGCTTGCCAAATTGTTAGCTAGATAAAGGCATGATGACAAAGTAGTACTCACTTCTCATCGAGGCAGAGGGAACATACTCTGCGCCTGATACCAAAGTCTATTTGCCACATTCCCTTCTCGCCACATTCCTGAGCTTGTGGTCATGAAAAGTACAAAAGATGTAGACGGAAACCAGACATACTTGACAGTGAAAACCACCAAATAATAGGTTAGCCCATTCCATCTCAGACATGCCAGGTAGGCAGTCAGGAACACCACCACGGTTGACGCGAGCAGCTTTCCAAACTGAGACTGCATTATTAGATGATAGAACCTTATGGAAAGCCTTGTTGGTGCGGAACAGATGTAAAAGATCTACTGGTTCCAAAAGGCCAAAGATCTGATTGAAAGTGGAGGTCATAATAAATAAGATGGATGTGCAATGCTCATTGACTGACCTCGAGAAGAATATGGGTTGGCACAGTAACAATAAGACCAGGAGTTTTCTTTCTTCTGCTAGAACCTTTTGCTACTGGTGCCGCTCCCGTATCGGTTACTTTGTCTGCCCTGGCACGCTTTGTCGCGGGTCTATCTGGAACTTGAAAGCAAAAGATGGTGAACAGTAATTGCTATATGTCTCTCTGCCATAGTCACCTGCACCGTCTTCACTGGGCGCCTCACCCAGGCTGCTGTGCTCGCTAAATTGGCTACTACTATCTTCCATTGAGTCTGTGTCCAGGTTCGTTAATTCGGAGTCGTCGGAATCCCAACACATGCGAATATCGTCGGGAGGGTTCCAACAGTAGGATGTACTAGAGATGCCCATGACAATTTGAACGTAGTATGGAGCGGCGTAAAGCGAACCTGGAGAAGTCGCGCTTTATGATGTGTTGGCGGCTTGACTCAGATTTAAAGGGTTCGGTCATTGATACCGAAGGTGACGAGAGGTTGCTAGATCAGATGGGGAAACAAAATGTATTCATGTAGCGTATTGGCTGGGGAGTGGCGGAGACTGATCATATTGCGAGTGCTCAAAGCTCGGTGGTGCATCTTTAAGTGCTCAAGGTTGAGCGTATCAGTCACGAAACGTGGCGGACGGTCGGGTGATTCTGATATCTATATAGCAAGTACTGCCAGAGTTGGGCGTTACATATTAGTGTCACGGACTTTAAAAAAATACCAGCGGCATATCAAACCGCAAATTCATACTTAGCGATAGAACCTTTTGCACCCAGGAAATGGCTCAATTCACTACAACAACCGTTACTTATCCGCTAGCAAAATATTCGCGGTCATATCCTACGAGCTCATCATCCTCTCAGAACCCTGCTACAGATGCAGAATGGCAACATTTCGTCCACCCCGTTATTAACCTCTACTTGGACGTGAAGAAATCTTCCGCAGGAAATCTTGTTTCTGTCCGCCTTCGAATTGTATGGAATTTTGACAGCAGCATTAATAACAAGGACGACGATCAAAGAGAGATCACACTTGTAGGCTCTTTAATTACTGAGGGACAACGAATCCCACTAAATAGCATAACCCTCCAGGAGGATCTTGATTTGCTCTCCTTCTCGTCGATCTCAAACTCGAGGACGAATCCTGGGCAACCCGACCATGGTCTTCCTCTCAAAGCTGTCTATCGAGATGCTGTTGTTGGAATTCGCTATCTGCACCCGAGAACAGTAGACTCGACCTGTCAACCAGTACATACGTGCCATTCGCTCCAAACATTTTACCAAGTTTTGTTTTAGGTATATCGGCGCTTTCAGATCACATTTACTACTGCAGCGAGCGCAACTCAGTTTATCGATGCCGTCCGACCTGTTTGTCCTTGTAGATTGAATCCACAGCCGCAGCCTCTGGTCACTCGTATCCCTACTGTAGCTACGACAGGCCTTCTTGACGACATCTCCCGTCGAGGTACTATGCTCCCAACTGTTTCACAAGCTCGGCCGTCAATTGGCGAAACTCCCCTTAGGCCAGCGCCGACTACACTTCTTTCAGAAAATCCATCATCCGAATCCGATTTACCGGCATTCGCACCATCGACGCCGGCTAGGTTCACACCTGTGGTTCTGAGCAGCAGTTCTACGAAAACGACATCCGTGGCTGCATCCTCTCACGATAGTACCTTCGTTACGCCTCCGGAAACACCTCGAATGACTATCCCAAAGTCCAGCCAATGCCAAGCGCCCTCTGGCTCCATCAACTCTACCTTACCTGATTCTTCCCAGCCATCCTCATCTACTCGTAGTAGTTCAAACACGATGCCCCCGCCTCCACTGCCTTCGAGCGTCACACGATCTCTTCAATCGGAAAGTCGACCATTAGAAGGTCGTAATTCAACTCGGGCCCAGCTTGTTGCATCACTGCACGACACTCCGGCCCTTCACAAGCTATCCCATGCAGAGTTAGAATCCATCGTAGCACAAGTCATCAGAGAGGAAGGGTTTGCCCAACTGGTAAGTGGTCTCGAAGTCATCAAATGAGAGAAACCATAACCTTAGATGGCGCTGCTAATCGGATCCTCCAGCTTGCTTCCTTGGACACTATGTGGAGAGTGAAGGGTTTTCTTGGTCAATGACGCCTGATAGTCTTGAACATATTCATTTCTTGCCATCCTTCGAGTAGAAACCATAGAGTAAGTACGATAGAGTAAGTACCTGAGACTTCAAGGTTTGCGGCTTTGGCTAATCTTTCAATTGGAGGTCCATCATCCTCAACTTCGATGAACTGGATATGTTTATGACTTTGACTGGCTCCACTGTTCGGTCCGCCTTTGATGAATACTCAGGATAAGCCTGCCATCAGATCGTCATGTCACGAGAGATCCTCACAGTTGTAGAAAGCGAAATAATTTTTGCGTGCTTTCCGGGCTGCAAGGAGCAGCAGATAAGTTTGGACCAAATCATGAGGCATCAGCGGTGAAGTTTGCGGCATAAACTCTGTTGATCGTATGCATCAGCGCATGATCATGGTGTTTAGGTAGCTGGTAGGGAACCTTTGGTCACAAGAAGGAAATGATGGGGGACGACCGAGTACTTGTTTAGCTGGATGCACTTGAGCTGATGCTCGGAGGGAGAAAATTGAACATACCAGTACACCATATTCCGCCCCGGATGATTCGTCGCGTAAATCACCAACGTGAAGGTTTGGGACATATGGAGGTGCAAAGGGATCAGACTTCTTGGAAGTCTCGTCTATCTGATTAGATGGTGCGATTCCTGCTTCCCAAGCAGGTATCGATTTCTTTTGAAGCGCTGTACATAGGCGAATCTCCCACTGTGGATTGATCACCCGTATGAATTATCATTATATTGATGAAAGCAGACGGAAACACACCTCTATTCCGATCTCCTCATGCTTGCTCACTTCCGACGGGAAGAAAAACAGATCCCCTGAAGATTGCGCAGCTTCAAACTGACTGGGTAGTGCAGATATGATATCAGAGGCCTGAGTCATGACTGAACTGCACGTCAATATTTGGTCACCGGCGTGTGAGCACAAATCGGCCAGCCGTGGCTATACCGGCTATACCGTGACTGTACAAAGTAATCGTCACGGCGCTGGCGCCAGCTGCCCGACTCGCTTATTCCTGGTTTTTAATGATGTCCATAGAAATCTGATGTAGGTTCGAAACCTGCTCGACAATCCTTTTCCTTTCACCACGCCTTGGACATTCACTCATGGATGGATCCTTCAAGGTCTATCTCGAGTAGTCATAGCCAACTGGTACCATGACAGATTAGAAACTCTGCATTCTTGGGTGGTGCAGATTCAAAACCTGCCGACAAACTTTGATTTTCCCTCTTATCGCACCTTAACATTCACTCATGGACAGTTCTTCGGAGGTTCATCTCAGCTCGGGAAGTGTCCTTGTCTTGTAGTCACCACGACCTAATGCATTGTTTAATGATAGATGTTAATGCGATACATGTATCTTGTCACTACGATGTATAATGCATTACCTACCCACGAAGTCGTCTTTAATCACACCTTGACATTCACTCACGGGCAGTTCCTGGAGGGTCATTTCACCTTCTGCCTGACGAAAGTGGTTACCGCAACGGAATCGAAATCTGTTTCTCCTGGGCTGCACAGGTTCGAAACCTGTCGACAAACGATTTTTCCTTCTTATCACATCTTGACATTGATTCATGGACAGTTCGTCGGAGATTCATCTCAACTTCCTCTTGGCGAAAGTGGCTGGTAACCACAACAGAATCGAAATCTGTTTCTCCTGAGCTGTACAGGTTCGAAACCTGGCGACAATCCACTTTTTCTATAAGAACACGCTTTGAGGATTCACTCGTGGGTGAGTCCCTCGGAGGTGCATCTTAACTGGTCCTAGCCAAGTGGTTACCGCAACAGAGTTAAAATCTGTTCCTCTTCAAGTTGAGCCGGCCAGGTTCGAAACCTACCCTCGAGAAAGTTGTTTTTACTCCAAAGCACGAGTTTCAGGAACGTGGAGAGGATATATGGATCTTTGTCTTCTTGCACAACAACGCCTATATCCTAAGTGCTTCATGGACGGCATGATACAGAGCAGTATTGTGGCACAGGGGGTCTTGTCGGACAATAACGGAAAGGTGGTTGGAACACCCTGACATTGACATTGACTCATGAATCTTTATCAATCGTCCCAACCAAGTGGCAACCACAGCAGAATCGAAATCTGTTTCTCTTGGACCGCGCAGGGTCGAAACCTGCCGACCCCTTTTTTTTCGGAACACGCCTTGACATCCACTTACGGATGATTTCGTCGGAGGTTCATCTTAACTGGTCTGAGCCAAGTGGTTACCACAACAGAATCGAAATCTGACTGCAGGTTCGAAACCTGCCGACGACAAGTTTTTTTTTATCAGAGCACTGTACACCTTAACATTAACTCATGGATCGGAGGTTCATCTTAACTTGGTCCTAACCAAAGCGGTTACCACAACAGAAAATCTGTCTCTTGGACTGTGCCAGTGTCCTGCCGACGATAAGGTATTTTTTCCATCGGAACATGCCTTGAAAATTCACTCACAGATGGTTTCCTTGGAGGTCCATCTTAACTGGCCTTGGCCAGATGGGCGCGGCCGGCCAGGTGGTTACCGCAACAAAATCAAAATCTGTCGAACCTGCCAACAACCAGTTTTTTTCCCTTATCAGAACACGCCTTGACATTCACCCATGGATGGTATATTTATTTGGTCACCGGCGTGTGAGTACATATCGAGCACCAAAAACAGGGGCGCCTACACAGGCTAATATACGGTTCGCCAAAATAAAATAATTCGAGGAAGAAATACTGGCCGCTCGCCCGCCGGAGAAGAGGAATCACATCGGGAGAACCGTGACTTGAACAGCTGGGCGCTGATTGATAGTAGCTACAACCCGAAAACACGTGTGTCTAGACCCAACTCATGTATGTAGTGAGACTGAATTGATGCAGCGTATTGAGAATCAGAGAGGCTCGGACTAGGAACGACGAACGAGAACGAAGGCTTTAGATTCAGTGAAACGACTAGAGAACTATATTCGACGAGGAGAGGTCTTTAATACCATGATTGAGACGGAGAATCAAAGGGGAACGTGTATCAGGCATGTAGTGAAGAGTGATTGCATATGTAAAAGGAAAGGAAGAGTACGTACGAGAGTGATGTCGATAGTTGTATCTTGACACAACGATCTGCAAAGAACTAAATTCAAGCCGTCGTGCATCATGCATGTCCTGATATCATCCGGTCGAATGACACCAAAAGCTGGCACGCGGCGACAGGCTGCATCGTGCTCTCTGGTCGTCAATATCAATGTCAAGACTAGTAGTACTGGCCTCAGTTTCGAGGGTGTCGAGTAGACTTGAGGATTCATGTTCTAGTAGGACTTGATATTAGAGTACTAGTGTTTTGGAGTGCCGTGAGGCGGCTCCCCATGTACAGTCACGTTCATCGACAGGAAAATAAAATGGACGAAATAAATGTAATTGAGTGGGGCAATTAAATACCTTTCGTCTTCCATCCCCTAACAACATGGACTATTAGAGTCTGTTCGGGAAGATGATTTCGCCCAACTTTGCTCAACTTGAAAAAATGAAATCACAGTTAAGTAAGCATGCCGGTGTGTGCCGGTTGAGCGTGACTGATCGTGACGTGTCGATTATCTATGTTATCACTCGATATGCCCTCGACCCGTACGCGATTGAGTTCTTGCTGTTTGCGCAGTGCTGCCAGGATGCCACCCAAGGGCAAAGGTAAAAAAAAAGGCAGCCGCTGAAGACCAGGACTCCGTCAGAGAGGTGAAAGACCACTGTGTCTGGTCATTGGCTGATGAAACAAGGTTGGTTGACTACATTGTTGACGAGCACTCAAAAGGAGGCAATGGGATAAATTTTATGAAGACTTTCTGGACTAATGCCGCTTTACATATGGCAGCTGGTCCAGTGCCTGAAGGTGCCCCCAAGACCTGTGATTCCTGTCAGTCCAAGTGGGGTTGCATAAGTACTTGTTTGTGAGCGCTGGTACTTAATTAACTAACACATTTATAGATACAAAAAATGTACAAAGTTGTTGATAAAATGAATGATGCTTTGGGCTTATCGTATGACATGGAGAAAGGGGCCAATATAGATGATGGAGGGGAGACTATGTGGGCGGATTATATTTCAGTATGTGTTCTTTGTCTCTCCTTATTTACCATGCTAACTATTTACATAAAAGAACCCTGATGTGAGGGCCTTCAAGAACAAAGGGTGGCCCCATTTTCAGAAGCTCCAGGGTGTTGTCCCAGTGACCACCAGTGGCTGGACTGGCTTCTATGCCAGCCTGAGCAACACCAAACGCATTGACCCCGAGCCATAATACCGATGCTACCACAGGTATGTCAACCCCTGCAGCCAGTGATGTCATGAGTGGTGAGGGTGATGTTGCCATGTTGTCACTGGAGAAAGTGCTTGACCAGGTCGAGTTTGGTACTGGTGGCACCAGAGATGTTGAGATGAGTGCTGACTCTAGGTCAATGCTGCTGCTGCTGCTGCCTCTCACTCCTATCATGCTGAGAGGCTTCAACACTGCATTGCAGCTGTTTCTCACTCCTTCCATATCTTCCACACCTACCTTGTTGATCTCAATGAAACACAAGTCCAATGGAGATGACAGCTTGCATGGTCAGTCCCACTGTTAAGAACCATATTGCTCAAGGGGGAGAGAGACTGACTCAGAGGGGCTTGGCCTCAGCTCGTACACTGTGCCCCTTACCCAAGTATGTGCCCTTCATTTCATATGAGGTCCGATGATGGTCTGACGAAGTCTGGAGGACTTTTGGAGGCTGGCTACTCTGCTGGAGAGCGCTAGAGGACTTCCGGAGGAGTGTGGGAGAGTTCTGGAGGAATGCAGGAAGTGTTTGGGAGAGTTCCCACTACAAGGTAATACTTCTACAGGAAACAGGATGGAAGGATAGGAGGTCTGAAGGTCCAGAGGACAGGAGGACAGGAGGACAGGAGGGCAGGATGACGGAGGACAGAAGGACAGGAGGGCAGGATGATGGAGGACAGGAGGACAGGACATCCAAGGGTTAGGAGGACGGAACATCCGAAGGACAGGACATCTGGAGGTCTGGAAGGAATAGGGGCTACATTGGATGAAGTCCGATGTAGAAACAAGCAGGGGTAGACTACCCTAAGGTAGAGTCAGAGAGACAGGGATTGGACCTCAGTCTGGAAAGAGGGTAAGTGCCAGAAAGGTGGAGCTCTGGCCTAGGGAATCAATCCCTAGGCCTGATGGGTAGGACAGACTTAGGTGGACCAAAGTCTGAGAGAGGATTGGGCAAGTCTAAGTTGATATTCAAACTAAGGAACTACAGGAGTATCTACAGGGGTTATATACTGAACAATATCTGAGGGGATCAGTAAGCAAAGGAGCAAGGCTATGTATGAGCATGTGGAAACACATTAGTAAGTAAGATGGAACATAAGTAAATGAACTCGGAGATGAAGACTCATACAAGGATCAATAAGCAAGATGGAAGAAGAGGTAACTGAAAGCCGGAAAGCAGAGAATGCCTAAATGGGGATAGGCGCAGGATATTGGACAGAGGGTGGGAATAGGTCTGGAGATCTGGGGATCCAGAAGACAAGGTGGATACAGGACTGGGATATGAGAAGGTGGATAGAGTCTGGAATCTGAGACAAGGTGAAGTCCAGATGTCTTGCTGGATGGAGTGTACATAGGGTGGATGGGACAGGGGGTTATGGTTCAGGCTAGCAGTGGAGATCCGATGGTCTGGAGCTCAGGGGTAAATCTGGAGCATAGTTGATCCTGCTGAGGTGTGGAGCACACAGTGGAAGGGGATCTGGGAATGAGTTGGATATGAAGTGTGGTCCAGACGTAGGCTCAGAAGGCGTGGGAATATGATGGAACGTGGGTCTGGATTGTGGGATATGACACCCACCCCCCAAACTCCAAGTCCAGGAGTGTGGCAGGGTCCTCAAAATCCCAATGCCTCACTATGCCGCATGTGTTGGAAGACTTTGGGGGGAAAGTGGTTGATAGCATCACCAATGCCACATTGGTCCTTCAGGACACCGTTGCTGGACACTTTACTGATCCTGTCCCAGTCTGCAAGCAGCATGCTGTACTTTGGGTCCAAGAGGAGAAGAACTTGGATGACAATGATGTCATCACCATGATGGACCTTTTTCAGTCTGATGTCACCATTGTTGATAGCTACAACTCCATCAAATGAGATGGCATTTGCAAGGTTTTTTTAGTGCGGCACCTCAAGGAAGTGAGGGAAGCATGGGCTAGGGAAAACATACCTACTTGAACCTACCTACTTGAACTTATGTACAATCCTGCAATCAATAGACTCGTGTCATGTTCATGTTCAAGCAATTGAGTGATTAAAGAAACAACTGGGCACAATACATTGTACATGGGATACTCAAACATAATGAACTAATCTACTCTTGTACACCAGGCAGTGGCAGCAGGCCTCTACATTGCCGTTCTTGCAAATAATCAACCCACATTGATTGTGCAGTCTCATTGCAGACTTGGTGTGTGCAGGTGTGTGCCACATTGGTAGGTGGCCCATCAGCAAGTGTGCCGCTGTCATAAGGAAACCCCCACTCATTAGACTCCACATGATGATAATCCAGTATGTCATTGGGGTCGTGAATGTGAATGATGTTGTGGATGAAACACACCGCTGGAGGGATGCGAGATTGAATTTCCAGGCTGTACTCGGGAGGGAGGCGAATAATCTGGAAGCGCTTTTTCAACACACTGAAAATGCATTCAATGACATTGCAGAGCTGCATATGACATAGATTGTATAACTCCTTGGGATTGCAAGGCCTGAAAAGATTTAGTACTAGGTGGTAAGCCAGTAGAATCACATACACCATCTGTGCCCAGCCCCATTCAGCAAGGTGGTAGTGCACACCATGGTAAGGCACAAGTAATTTGTCACATGCAGCAAAGCCTGCATCTGCAAGGTACACCTTGCCTGGTGGGATCATGAAATTTGTTAAATGAGCCTCATTGTAGAGGCAAGCATCTGCTGCAGACCCTGGTAAGCCACTCAACATGTAAGTGAAACACATATTGAAATTGCAGGCAACAAGGCAATTTTGCATCAAATTGCCTTTGTGGTCACAAGCAGCATCACGATCAGCAGTGCCAGGATGGCATGTGATGTGAGTGCCATTAATGGCGCCAATCACATCAGCAAAGTAGGGATAGAGTTTTGTTGTCCTGAGGATTTCAGTGGGCACAGGGGTTTGTGTATCTGGAAGCCAGACATAGGTGGAATAGATTGGTTGGAAGGACAATGTGATAAGAATTTGTTTAAAATACCTGGTAGAATATATTAAACAAAGATTAGGATGAGAGCTAGGGGATGTACTTTGATATTGTGTCATTTGAGCGCTGAAAGTGCTCAGCAAGGTGGTGTACAGCAAGGCCTGTAACACAGGCATATAGGAAGATGGCTAGCTGTTCTTCCAGTGTTACATTTCTGGAATTGTTTATTCTGCTGCCACAAAGTATATTGCACAATATAATGAACACATGGTGATGTACACTGAGCTCACATCTGATTCATTCTGGGTGACCATTAAGGAGCTCGTTGACCCAGTCAATCCTGGACAGTGCTGAAGTATGGTAAGGTTGTTTGTTGTCGTAAGTGTTGGTATATGAGCTTAGGGCATCCCTGGCAAGACCAACAACTTGAGAGGCTGAAAGTACCATATCCTGGAAGAAGCTTATGATAGCTTTGAGGTTCTTCATATCTGACTGCTCTGCATCTTTTACACCCTGCCCACCATCCTGCTTATCCTGCTCATCCTGCTCATCCTGCTCATCCTGCTCATCCTGCTCATCCTGCTCATCCTGCTCATCCTGCTCATCCTGCTCATCCCACTCATCCTGCTCATCCTGCTCCTCTTGATCTTCCTGATCTTCATGTGTGTCTCCATCAGTGGGAAGGTTGTCAGTGTGATATAAGAGACAGGGGAGCATGGCAATTATGGTGTGTGGGACATATGTTTTTTTTTTTACTGATAACACTAATCAGCATGACATCAGTTTCAAGCTCTGTGCTTACTTAATGATACTTACTTTGTTGAAATTGGGCAAAGTTGGGCAAAGTTGTCCTGGCTGAACAGACTATTATAAGCCTTACAGATAGCTGACTTCGTCTTGGGTATTGACTTCCCCATTGAATGATTTCCTTGGTAAAAACAAAATCATAGTTGGCAGATGCAGCAACTCTGATAATATTAAGGATTAAAGATGGCTTTGCTCTGTTCTCTAACTCATCCATTCTGAATATTGTTCATATGATCAATAGATAGGCTGAGTAAATTACAAAGTAGTAGAAATCGTGTTGGTGGTTGCTTATAAGTGTATTGCGAGCATTTATTTCAGTAAAATGAAGAGCTAGAAAGCATAGTAGAACCAACAGCATTAAGGTCCTAATATGAGGCAGTGTAAGTTGTTGATATGTCTGGAGAATAGAAAAGAAACACACCTTTGCAAGCTCTTGCCCTTGGGACAAAACAACAAGGCAAGACCCCAGACCCTTCAAACACCAATGCCATTCAAGCCAAGAGGGGAGATAATGATTCCAGAAAGCCTGAAATATATGATGGAGGTTGTCATCCCACAGATTTGAAACATGCGAAAGATGGACAGCCCAGTTTTGACATGCATATTTCAGAGCATCAGAGGTGGATTGACTGAGTTCCTATGCTTTGTTTGCAAAGGTGGTAAAGGCATTCACAGCACGGATGATTTCCTTGTCTAGTGGAACAACTTGACCCTCTGGTGATGCAGAGGTGCCATGTTCCCAGTGCCTTAATGCCAGGAATGCCAGAAATATCAAAAAATCTGGCAACTCCTTGAACTGTTGTATCACTTGGAAAGCTGGCAGTGAAACTAATTCTCAGGCAATCTTAAATTTGCTGATTGCTTCTAATGTGCTCAAGAATTCTTCCATTGTTACCCAGGCAGATGCCACAGGAGTAGATTACCATGCTTTGCCATGGGGAGTCTGCAGCCAGTCTTGCCCGTGTGGGGTCTGTAGCCAGTTCCTCCTGTGTGGAGTTGACAGCCAGTCTAGCCCTCCCTGGGTTTGCAGCCAGTTGTGCACATGGGTAGTCTGCAGCCAAACTCTCCTGCCCTGGCCCTGCAGCCAGTCCTGTCCATGCATGATCTGCAGCCAGGCTCTCCCACCCTCAGTCTGCAGCCAGTGTTGCCGCCTTATGTCCACAGCCAGTCTCTCCCATCCTGTGTCTGCAGCAAGTCTCTTCTGTCCTGGGTCCACAGCCAAACACTCCCACCTCAAGTCCACAGCCAGT